AATTGCAGTTTATACTGCAATACATTTCTTTACCTTTGGTGCCATTACTTTTGTTGTTTTAATCAGACTCAAATTGACTGCCAGTTGCTTTCATTGAATGATTCATTCTTTCAAAAGAAAGAAAAAACAAGCCCTCTCCATTTCTCAGTTAATTTAGTTGGGATGCTGAGAGATTAGCGTTTAGACATTCTTTCAACACAGGAAGAGAATTCAGCTAAGGCCTGCATTTTGTTATCTCTGTAGTCCATTAATACTAGATCCCTTTGCCTAGAGTCAGTTGAAGAATACAAAGAACTAACTAGAAAAGCACAGATGTGCCTTACGGAGTTTTTATTTTCCAGGGCAAGTGTGAATACCACAGACAATTTCATGTGGACTCCTCTCCATCATGCCTGCCATGCAGGACAGCAAGACATTGCTGAACTCCTTGTCAAAGCTGGTGCCACGATAGATGCCGTTTCAATCAATGATGGGACCCCATTGATGAGGGGTATTGAGAGCAGTCGCTTGGACACCGTGCAGTATTTAATCAACAGTGGTGCTAAGGCGCAGAAGACAAACCGAAGAGGTAAAGTTTTGCGTTATTATAATTACCATCCACGTGGTTAGAGTGCAGTACTGCAGACTACTTCTGCTGACCGCCAGCTTCCTGCAATTTGGCAGTTCAAATCTCACCAGGCTCAAGGTTGACTCAGCCTTCCATCTTCTGAGGTGGGTAAAATGAGGACCCGGATTGTTGGGGGCTATAGGCTGACTCTGTAAAACTGCTTAGAAAGGTCTGTAAAGCACTCTGAAGCGGTATATATGTCTTAAGTGCTATTGCTATTATTACTCAATGTATTATTGGCTGTTAAATGCAGATGAACAAGCAGCTATAGAAAGGAAGGGTTTTCCCCCTTATTAAATAATGTTATGGAGTTAATTGGTTTTCAAAGTATTGATTAACAGAATAAATAGATGGTTTGACCTTTTGCTTTATTCATTTTTTTCTTTCCAGCTGATTTTTACCAGCTGCCTTGTTGTGTTATTCCTAGCGTCTGTCTTGCTTTGTTGTAACATTTGCTTGTTTTACACTCTACTCACGGTGATTCTTAGAAGGCAGCCATCAATGCATGGTGCAATGGAAGTTTTATTTTTCAGCCAGCTTGCCGCAATGCATGATACTGATCAAGGCTTGGAGGGAATGACTTGCACAAAGTCACCGGCAGGCATTCATGCCTAAGAGAGGACAGGCACTTGCATTTCTCTGTTTCTAGTCCAGCAACTTAACCACTGCATTGTACCAGCACTCATTTTAATTAGTTATTAATCCTTTTACATGCATTACATCAGTGGTGGGTTCTGGATCCCGTTCCAAACGGTATGGTTGGAACAGGCCTGGCGGCATCCACATGGATGCGCACAGCGCACACATGTGCCTTAGCACCTCCACGAGCCTCCACTATGCTCAAGTTGCTCAGCAGAGCATCGCGGAGGCACTGTATGCGCCATGTGCATGCACAGAAGCACCGAAGACTTAAAAGACTGGTAAAGAGCTCGGGCGGACAGGTGGGCCTTCCAGAGCACCGTACCGAATGGTATCTGGTGCTCCGGGCAGACTCCGGTATGCCTGTACCGGGGGATATCACCTGTAACCCACCACTGCATTACATGTAGTTTCCAGAGCCTCTTCCAAAATTGCCTGCATAATGTAATTTTTAATGTGATAGAGGAGAGTTTTATTGAAAACCTGGAGATATTAACATGAAGTACTGTACAATCAATTAACATAGTGTAATTTAAATAATTGAAGTTCAACACATTACCCCTCTTGTACCTCTGATGATGCAAAGAAAATGAAACAATGATGTGGCTAAGTAGAAGCTTATCAGAAATCTAATCTGATTTCTTAGTGCTGCATCCATACGAAATCCAAACATATTTGTTGAAAAGCCAATACTATCTAGTGATAGTACAGGAGCTTCTCAGTTCAATAAATGTGTTCTAGTGATCAGCATTTTCTCCTCCACACTTTCATAAAATGACATTTTGAAAAATAAGAAGTCTTTTGTTTCAAAAGGGGATCAGGAGATGGGCAAAAGAAAGGCTTCTGGGTGATCCCCTGTAGGCCTTTGGAAGGAGCAACAAAGAAGAAGGTGCAGAGTCATATAAATACGTGGGACATCTTTAGGAAACCTAAGATTGGTGAAGCTGAAGGCCTGGATCCCATGGGAAGGGATGTGCCAAGGTTCTTTGGTAGTGGAAGATTTGTATGTAAGAGGGAAGAAATGATGCTGGATTGCAGGAATTTAGGAAAAGATTCCACTCCAAGTCATCAGAAGGGTGAGTTACTTTCAACAGAGTTCAGAAGGTCATGGTATGATAGTAGAAGATCAAAGAGGAGATAGTTGTAGCAAGAGCTGATTGAAATCTAAGCCAGAGATCCAGCAAAGGGCAATATTTGCTCAGTTCTCTGTACAGAGAAGTAACTGTAAGTTTTATTTAATAGGACAAAACTCACTGGAAATTGCCAGGGCCTATGCAGACAACCGACTGATCCACTTCATTCAAGATACCTTGGACCACTTGCCACAAACCGTAGAAGTCAAACCGGATAAGAAGAAAGGAAAAAAAGGGGGCAAGCCTAAAGCTGCTTCTCCTACTACTCCAGCTCCATCAGGAGTTCCAGCTCAGGCTCCAGTTGTTCCCAAGCCAAAGCCTGTAGAAGACTCAAAGGAGTCTGTGAAAGAAGAGGTATGATTGCCAAGATTCTTTGGCTTAAATTTGCTTTTTCATAATGTTTGAAAAATCACTTTAAGAGAAAGGTGACTGGAGGGGAACTCCTGTCTCTGGTATGATGTCATGGGATTTCCATTGGGGTGCACCAGAAACACCCTCCCTCCCCTCTTGATGTCATTGAAGCAATCCTTCTGAATTATGGAAGGACCACAATATACAATTTCTGTCCATTCTCTGCTTGAGTCCCTACAACCACCACAGGAAAGGATCTCTGCATGCTGAATTCAGCATGTGACCCTGCTTGAAAGCAGGACAGGGGAATCCGGAAATTCTGCACCATGGAAGCTTAAATAGAGTACACACCAATAAAGCAAATACTTTGGGTTTTGTTACAGAGTTTTTGAAGAATAGCATGACAAGGGAAGTGTCATTATCAGTAGGGAAAAAAATAAGGAAGAGGGTCATGGGAAGCTGCTTCATTCACAGTAATGCCATTGGTCTATCCAGAAGTCTGTCAAACTGTTCTCAAGAGTTTGAAGTTGGGTGAAGATGATTGTTTTTGTTTTTTTTTTTTTTTTTTTTTTTTTTTTGGTCAGTCTTATCCGGAGATTACTGTGATTGAACCTAGGATCTTTTAAATGCAACAGGTTTTCTATTCCCTTTTCCTGCTTATTAAGAGAAGAATCAAAGCATCCTTCTCAAGTTCCAGCCATTGAAGCTACTAGCCTTTGACTTTAACTTTTTAATTGCAAAAAAAACAGAAAGAAATTTAGCAGCATAAATCTTGAAAACCCCAATATAATTTACATTGTGTATTTCAGATACCACAACCCCTTGAGTCTATTATTGAGAAATCACTCTTTGAAGAAGAGAAGGAATCCATCAAAGATAATGTAGTTTATCTGAATTCCCTGATAACCAGAGGGGTTACAAAGAAACTTAATATCACTTTCACACCACAG